GATCAGTTTTTTTAAATTATTAACCCAATCCCTAGAGATTGGCACAAGCCCTAATCTGAATTATTTGATTAATTTAATTTTAAAAAATATTTATTAATATTATTAACATATGCTTTTTTTTTAATAATCTACCAAATATTTGCATTATAGTTAGAGAAGGACTTGACTCGAGGTAAAAAATGGTATGATATGCCAGCAACAGAACAGACCCCTGAGATTAAAAACGATTTGACTATTTTGAATTTATCGTCTTCGTTATACCCAAAAAATTATTACAAAAAATGTGATTGGAAAACCATTCCCAAATATTATCAAGTAAATCAATGCAAAAAAGAAAATAATGAAAAAATTTACTGGTGTTGACGAGGAAGGGGGAAGGGTAAGGGAAAAGATTTAAGCATGAAAAAATAAATTTATTTAAGAGATAGAAATTAGAGATTATACATAGCCCAGAATTCGTGAGTCAATACATTATTGCGTAATCATCTTGTAATAATTAGAGCTTAAAATAAATTGTGGCCAATAAAAGTTGCGGGAAAGTGGAATTGGTTAGAGCAAATTTGGTGAATTGGAATTGATATTTGCTTAATATATAAGTAGAAATTGGTATCACATCTATGAGAAAATCGGGGATTTGTGATGTATCGATTCCTTTTCGTTTTGTGATACCTATAACAAATGCTTATTTCAAGGCGTTTATGCACTCGGTAATAGGTGATGACAGAGTTGGCCACGTTACTCTCAAAATAATATTGGTTGGTCATGTTCAGTTATTGTTACTTGGGAGAAAAGATGATCGATGTTTAAGTTAACCTTAGCCTTACTTTTGATTTACAATGAAATAAGTGAAAATTGGATATTTTTTTTTTATATTAAAGATGATCAAGAAGCCTAATGTGTAGATAATTTGTGTCGTATTGGGATATGGAATCATGTGGGATAGGAATTCCAACTTGGGGATTCATGATCTTGAATCCCCACGTTTTATTCGGGATTTTTTTTTAAAAAATATTTAAAAAAATAATCCGAATCCCCATGAAAAAAAATAAATAATATAATTACTTTTTCTTCTCTTTTTTTTTACGGCTGGCACCATATAATTAAAAGGCTAAAATAATGGATTTAAAAAGAAAATTTAAAAAAAAAGTAAAAAGTAAAAAATTAAGGCATATAATGAATGAAAAGAGATGAGATTAAGACTTTTTTGTTTTAAAAAAATATTTATAAAAAATCGGAATTATTGCAACGATTATTCAATGCGATAAGTCATTTCAACTAACGGCAAATTTTCACAGTCTACATACATTTTTCATTTTTTTTAAAACTTTATCACGACCTGCACCCACTCGTCCAATGGGAAATCCCTTATTTTGGATGCAACTTGCCTATCATCCTTTCCTTCATCAATTAATACAAACCATCTTACTTGTGGGGAAAATAAAAAAATTAATAAATATTCAAAATTAAATAACTTTGTATTTCAGCCAATAGTCATTTGAACTAACGGCAATTTTTCACAAGTCTACATATATTTTTTTTTAAAAAACTTTATCTCGAAAATTTTTTAGCTTAACAAACGAAAATCGCGAATCCTTATTTTCTTAAAGAAAAACTTCAAATGCAAATTTTTAAACACAATTATACTTGCTTTTTAGGTACATTCTCATTATTAAATTAAGCTCTTTTTTTAGAGCCTTCGATACTATTAATTATATATTTTTATTTAGTAATTTTTAATATATTTTTACATATTTTTCTATAGTTTGTTTTGATATTTTAGTTGTTTTTATCATTTTTTTTTAAAAAAAATTTATACCGAACATCAATATTATCAAAATTAAAATTTTAAAAATTTAAAACAAATAACAATGGCAATTGTTTTGAAGTTGTGTTGTGGAAGCAGGAAATTTTATTTCCTTTTTTGAGAAAATTAGAGAGCGAAATTTTGTCAGCCCTGGCAAGGCTTCTAATGAAAGGTTATCCAATCGTTTATTGGAGGAAAGGCGTACACGATTGAAATAAAAAAATAAAATAGATGTTCTTCTCTTTCTAAGTAAAAAATTTGGATTTATAATACGTATTTATTTTTTGGATTGTGGAATTAAAGAAATAAATAGGATAAATTCAATAAAGTGCGAAAAAAATTATAGCATTTAAAGTTTTGAAAAATTTAAAAACACCGTAAATTTTCGGGCGCGAATCGAAATATCGCCTTTCGTGAGCGAGCGCGTCGTGTCGAAAATTTTTTAGTGGTAAGCGTGAACGTTTTTATTGTTACCGTGATCGGGTGGGTCGCGAATAAAAAATTAGGCCTGCACATCTTTTCGCTTTCTCTTCCTCTAATTCGACTAAATTATTAATTTAAAAAATAATTATTTATTTTTTTTGTATTTAATTTTATAATTATATTAAAACCATTTTTTTTCGAGTATTTAAATGATTTAAAGCATAAAAGTAATACATATATATTAAATATCTCTAAAAAATAAAATTTTTCTGGTGCCAGCCAGGTGGCAAAAAAATATAATATAATTGTTTTTTTTTTAAAAAATTTTATTTTTGTTATAAATATCCGGACCGTAACCGTAACCGAACCGGTATAATTGTTTTTTTTTGAAGGAGTAAAAAGAACCTTTATAAAAACGGATAATCCGGTTCAGTTTTTATAATTTTAGAAATGGAAATAATTTTGAATATCCAGAATTAATATAAACGTGCTCTTACAGTACTGGCGGTTCCCGCAACACAAGTTTCTGTAGAAATGGCTTTTTTTCGGGGCTAAAATTTGTCTTTGTCTCTTTTTAAATCCCTCATTTTTGCAAGCCGCAAAAAAAGAGAAGAAAAAAAGTAATATATTTTTAATATTTTTTAAAAAATAATGTCTTTAAAACAAAAATGTCTTTAAAAAATAGATCCCGAATAAAACCTCGAATCCCCACGTTGGGATTCCGAATTCCACATGATTCCGTATCCCAATACGACATATATATTATAATCAGGGTTGTGCATTTGACCGGTCAAATACGTTTCGGTTAATTGGTCAAATATCGGTTTGACCGGTCAAATATATGTTTTTTTGAAGTTAATATTTGAATATAATACGTAAAATGAATCTAAATTATTAATTTTTTAAAATTCATTGTCATAAAATAACTAACATTTAGGCTATCAGTAGGCAGATTCTTGTTCTGATTCACATTCAATATTATCATATTCTTTAATATATTTTTTAATCAATTTTCCTGATGTCTCTGATCTCCAATCGATTTCTATTTTTATAAGAATATTAACCCAAATCGACCTATTTCTTTCAAAAGAAGAAGTAGAACTAGGAATTATCAATCTCTTAATGAGCATGTGGTGGGCAAAGTTTAATCTATTAGGTCGGAATTGATTGTTTTTGGTTTGGAAATTACTACTTTCCTAAATTCGCTACATTAAACATGCTGTTTTTGCTTTTGAAATTAATTATATCACTTAAAATATTTTGGTCATCACTATCTCGTAAAATAGCTAATTCTAGAATTATATCACATACTTCATTAAATTCACTACTAGTTGAGATTCTCCTCTTGATATTGTTGACCCAAAAAATAAGCGAACATTGTGATCAATTTGACCAGGTCAAATACTCCTCCGGTCAATTGACTGAATTTGACTAGTCAATTGACCGACTTGCCAACCCTCATTATAATTATTCATTCCACCAAAAAAATGAAGTGAATATCACAAACTAGTTAATTGATATTTTAAGAGGGGGGTGGGCATGGTAAAGGTTTGTACATCGTTATTGTTAAGCCATTGAACGTAAAGTTAAATGTGTACCCATGGGTTATAGGCCATCTTTCTTTCTTCTTTCTTTCTTTCTTTCTTTCTTTCTTTCTTTCTTTCTTTCTTTCTTTCTTTCTTTCTTTCTTTCTTTCTTTCTTTCTTTCTTTCTTTCTTTCTTTCTTTGAAAGAAAGTCCATTACTATCCAACCAGATTTTCTCAATTTAATATTATCTTTTTATGAATTTGTTTTGATGTCTTTTTGCAAATTTTTTTTTAAAAAAATATATCTAAATTTTTCTATATTTAGGGATTACCTTTAGTTTACACACAATTTTTCCTGTAAATTGTATATCGTGTTGTTAGGACTTGGTGCTTGATTGCCCTAGGACTATGAACAAATATGATCTTAAATTAAATCCCATGAGGATGGATATAACTTAAAGTTATAGGATTACCGTATTTTTTATATCTTGAAAGTGGAGTTACGTATTTATAACGAAAGGTTAGCCCATTTAAACCCTACCTATTCTAGTGGACAGCGCATGTTTAAATGCGTTAACTTTTTTGGGCATACCCTTTATATCTCTTTTAAGTATTTTATTTTTACCGTTTTTACGAATATTAGATTGGCACGGTTATGGACGATCCTCACGATTTCTATTCTCGCTTGACCAAGAAGCAACGGAAGCAAACCATTTGCGAACAGATTTTAGCCGATAAAGATTTCAAATCGTTTATAATTAATTTTTTTTATCGTACATCTTAGGCAAGTTTCTTATCTTTTTCTTATTAATTGACAAAAGACAAAGTCACTTTATCAAGGCTTTATTTTTTACATTCATATATAAAATTCCTTCTAGAAATATATTTTTAGAGACCTTACTTTAATTTTTTTTTTTTTAATGAATAGATAATTTTATTTATAAAACGGTTTCGATTTTAGATACAATTTAAACTATATCAAATTAAAATATAATTTAAAATAACGTATATTAAAAATTATAAAGAAAATAGATATATATAAAATGTTATATAAAAAGCATTTAAAAAGAACTAAAAAAAAAGGACATGTCGCCCTAGAGAGTAGTGAATGGTGAAATCTGCTGACGAAGGTAGAATCCTTCGTTGGGGTCATCTGTAACCGGTCTCTTTTTTACCTATAGTTTTGATAAAATTTGAGGGCCTCCTTTCTGTATGAGGGGGGGGGGTCTAGAAGAATGTTAATGAATTTTAGTGGGGATTCACATCCGCGGAAGAACCTGCAGTGCAAGGGATGGTAAACATTCATTGGAACACAATCGACGCAAATGTTGGGTAGAACTGTATTACAAGACGAAGAGCAGACCTTTAACTAAACTTAAGAGTTATAACCTGTCTTCACAACCTTATACCTATTATTTATTTTTTTGGATCAATCTAATGCTAATTCGCCAAGCATTCGGGATCGAGGCGTGGCGCGTGGTTAATATTATTTCCGCGTTCTTCAAAAGTTAAGCTATATATATTTTCTACAAAAAAAAAAAATAACCAACCTCGAGACATATAATTTTCGACTAAGAAATTCTCCTTCCACGAAAAAAGTAAGTTGGCCCAAAATGTTTTTAAAGAATTTGTTACTAAAAATTCCTCAAAATAATTTAGGATATATCGTGATAGGATCATAAGTCTCCTCGACGGGGAGTGTAAAAACCACCCAAAGGGAGTTGATGTCAGGGAAGGGCATCTGATTGTAAAAAAAAACCTTGCTACAAAATTTCCTAAATGATTAAATCAGAGAGGGAGAACTGGCCAACCTGGGTAAGCCTTGAAATCGCCATTAAACGGAGAAGAAAAAGAAGAACCGACTCCATTGTTAAGAATCGATTCATCCAATCAACGAGAGAAACGGAACACCTAATTTCCCTTAAAATTACGGAAATGTTAGCGTCAATGTTTTACAACTTTAAATAATTTTTTTATAGCGTTTTTATATATTCTATCATGTTTGGAATATACTGATCTTATGAATTGCAAGCAATTTTTTCTGTTAACTTTTGATTCATTTACAATTTGTAATTTAAAAAAAAAATATTTGGAAAATTTTGAAATTGTATTAAGTTTAAAAGTTCGCGGAAAAATTGTCTGAAATTCATATGGTAACTATTCCAAACATGACACGGCATACATTTTAAAATCAGATTATTCAAATTTTTTTATAAAAAACGTGCTCAGATTTTGAAAGTTGAAAAAATAGCACATGGCAGGAAAAAGCACATTGACGCTTATTCATATATAAAACGCCACTGATAGCGATATCTATCACGTTGTGCCGTTACTTAATGACCTTCCTAACGAATTGAACTGTCCCTTTCAGGAATAAATTTATTTTTATTTTTCTTAAAACAAATTGACACCGAAACTTTAATTAGTCTATTTATTTTTTTCTTAAACAAAAATTATATTTTTAACAAAATTATAAAAAATCAAAAATTACAATTTCAGAAAAATTAAAAATTGTTCCAAAAATTAAATAATAATAAAAAAATAAATTACAAATTATATTTTTTCAACAAAAAAAAATATTCTCGACTCACCATGAGTCTTCTCTTTCTTAAAACAAATAATTCCGCGTATATTATAATATTAATCCGCGCTAACAAAAATATAAAATCATTTCACGACAAAAAAAAATACAACAACAATAATATTATGACACCTCCACCCTTCCCCACTCCAAAGTTCCTTATTAGAGGGGGGAGGTAAGGGTCTGTAGTCTCCCAACAACTCATCTAACTCCCTCGTGCTAACCCCGACCTCCAGAAATTCCTCCTCCGTTACTGCCTGTCTTCCGGGCGCTTCCCACACCACCTGCTGCCTCTGCGATGACGTGGAGGGCAATTTGAAGGTTCCCGATCTCCTTGGTGGCACCGGCCGTGGCGGTGGGGTTACTCTCAATACATCCGATCCTCCTTGAGGTGCCATTGTTCGGGGCGGGGCCTTCCCAATTCTGCATACATTTTTCGTCTCCTTGACAAATTTCCTTGAGGGCAGTCCCGCCACATATGCCCCTCCACTCCGCATCGAAAACAGGGTCCTTTGTTCACCTCGTCTGCGTCATTAGTCGGGGTTCTGCACTCCGAGCCCGAGAAGTTCCTGGATCCTGATCTTTGGACATCATTCTCCACTCACTCACCAATGGCTCCATGTCGTTGCTAATTATAGTCGTTCGAAGCATATGCGACCCTAAGTCTATGTAACTGACACGACAATAATAAGTTCATATATAAATTTTATTACCCCTACTACCCTAAACCTCACCCACCATTAATATATATTTCTCGGAATTATAATTTCCTACAATATGATCTTTATCTACAAATATATATATTTTTTTTAAAAAAAATAAAACCATTGATTAAACCTTACCTCAATTTCATTTTCTCAATTTCAGGAAATCACTGAAAAAGAAATAACAACCTCAACCCTTTCCTACAAAAATATAAAATAATCCATACTTACCGGTTATCTATAGGCATTTTATTTGAATCCCTCAAGGAATAACTCCAATATGTTAGCGAATACTATTTAAAATCTTTATTCAAAAACCAAACTGATTTTTTTTAATTCAACACAAAACTTGATGAATTTTACTTCGAAACAAACTTTTTTCTATTCCCTTCACCAACCCCTTCCTTTACGAATAAATCGATTTCTCGTTTTATTTTACGAAAACTTTCTCAATATTGCTAACATTCTCTCGACCTTACTCTTGCTCCCTTTCGTTAAACATAACTAATGACGCAGACGAGGTGGGAGGTGAACAAAGGACCCTGTTTTCGATGCGGAATGCAGGGGCATATTTGGCGGGACTGTCTCAAGGAAATTTTCCAAGGAGACGAGAAATGTATGAAGAATTGGGAAGGCCCCAGCCCCGAACAATGGCACCTCAAGGAGGATGGGATGTATTGAGAGTAACGCAGCCGTCCCGGCCGTTGCCGCCGCCCCGGCCGGTGCCACCAAGGAGATCGGGAACCTTCGAATTGCCCTCCACGTCATCGCAGAGGCAGCAGGTGGTGTGGGAAGCGCCCGGAAGATAGGCAGTAACAGAGGAGGAATTTCTGGAAGTCGGGGTTAACACGAGGGAGTTAAATGAGTTGTTTGGAGACTACAGACCCTTAACCTCCCCCCTCTAATAAGTAACTTTGGAGTGGGGAAGGGTGGAGGTGTCATAATATTTTTGTTTATTTTTTGTCGTGAAATGATTTTATATTTTTGTTAGCGCGGATTAATATTATAATATACGCGGAATTATTTGTTTTAAGAAAGAGAAGACTCATATCCTTTGACGATAACACACATATAATTTTTTAGAAGAAATAAATTCACCATACCCTTTCAACTATTTTATTCATTCCTCTTAAAATTTTTTTCTTATCAATATGCCTCACATTAAAATTTTCTATCATATGTTTTACTCTTATACAATAAAATAAAATACCCCTTTTGTTTTATTCCAAAAAATAAAATAAATAAAAAACAATAATTTGTTTTTTTATAAAGGCATTTCGACAAAAAATATCGCGAAATGAAGGATAAGCAACAAAATCTCGACAAGGCCAAATTCAGAAGACGACATAAAAAGAAAAAAACAAATTGAAGCCTTATACTTTTAATTTAGTTCCAATAAATTCACTTTTGGTTTATATGGTTATTTATATAGGAAACAAAATAAACTGATTGGTTGACCACATGGGTCTAAAAGCCTTACTTTTAATTTAGTTCCAATAAATTCACTTTTGGTTTATATGGTTATTTATATAGGAAACAAAATAAACTGATTGGTTGACCACATGAGCCTAATAATTTTGATCACGATTTTGCGTCATTTAAATATTTACGAACTTTTATTGAAAAAATTAATATTTTTTTAAAAAAAATAAATAAAATAAAAGTTATATAACACAAAAGGCGAAATTATTTAAAATTAAAATTTTTATAAATATCTCTTATTTTAGTTTTTAAATTTATCACAGTTTTTAGTTAAATTATGTAAAATGAATAAATACGTGAATTAATAATATTTCCGGGAAAAATATTTGAAATATTGAAGTATTTTAAATGTTTTTTTTAAATAACAAATAATGAAACGGCAAGCGCGATAAAACTAGCTTGATTCAAGTGTATCATTTATTTATAATCATTTTTTTTGCGAAGAAAGTTAAATCTTTGTTGCTACCATTTTGAGTGATTTTCATTCGTCAATATTTTTCGAAAGTCTTTTGTAAAGAGGCTTCTTGTATATCCAATTTCCGTTGATTTCCTCGAAAAACTAGGTAAAGTGCGAAATATTATTATTTAGATTAAAAAATTCGATCATTTTTCCTAAAATTAAAATATTTATAATTTGAAAAAAAAAGGTTTGGCTTGAAGTTTTTAACCTAAGAAATTGCTATCCAAAAAAATCAATATAAATTCCCCATCCAACAAAAAAAGAGATTATTTTGCGCATGATTTTACCTTATATCCCATTTCAAAACTGAGTTATTTTTCGAAAAAGCTATAAATGGTTTTTAAAAAAAGACAAGGTCAAGCATAACGTCTTAGTATATAAAAATGATGTTTTTTAGCCAATTCAGATAATTTATGCCCCCTAACCTGACATTCCCACTTGACGGCTGATTCGCTCCTCTCCCTAGCCTTACTTCTTTGCTTCTCCTCGATTTCGTGCTTGATCTCCGTGGCCATTTCCAAGCGTTTAGCCTTTAAACATTTGGCCACATCGTACCAAATTCTTATAAATATAAAAGACATAAAATATTCGTCCTCATAGGAAAAGAATCACTTTTCAGTCAAAAAAATCTTGGATTGAGACTATTAAAATAATCAAGGAATTTAAAAAAAAATTATATAAATCGGCAAAATTTAGTTAATTTTGAGGTAATATTTTTTTTAAAAAACATTCGATACCTTTTATTTTCTCTAATCGATCAGTAATTTTTTTAAAGGATCCCTTATGAATAACATGTTTGTTATTTTAAGGCCAAATCAATTTTAAACTTCTTACAATTTTGTTTTATCTTAACAACATAAGAAGAAATTAATTATATATGAGTGACAAATAATTCGAGCTCTACTTTATCGAATAATTTGTAATTCGCAATTGAACATCGAATTCGAATGATTTTTTATAGATCCAAGTGTAAAGAGATAAGGTTTTTTTTAAAGAAAAAAATTACTTTCTAGATTCGTATTCCCTTTGCGCGTGTATAGGCAAGACGACCTTGCTCTGAATGGGCATGGATGACGTATCGAGAAACTCGTGACATTCCTAAATTGTTATTGGTTAATTTAAAAAACAAAAAATTCTAAGTACAAAAATGGATGTCACAAAAATAAAAAAAAATTTGAGATAAAAAGTAGAGCGCCACTAACCGGTTAACTTTTATAAGAATCGCCCGTATCATTCATGATTAGTGTTGAAAAAAAAATTGGCTCACGCCTAGCGGATGAGCCGATTTCGTGGCACAGAAGATTCATGTCTCAGTGGAATAAGTCGCATTGGAAGATGGACAAAATTTAATGTTTTAGCCAACACTGGTTATTATTGTATGCTTATTCAAAATTTCGAATTTATCCTTTCAGGGATTTATACAAATCCTTGATTTTTTTCTTTCTTATCCTAAAAAGCGGGATAAAATCTAATAACCTGAACACCTCTAGAAAGAAAAAATTGGGATCAGAATCAGCTTAGGTGTTCCAAGAAGCTCTGACGTAATCAAAGTTTGATCAATGAAATCAAAATAACATACCTCTTGGAATAAGGACATTAGGAGCAAGTGTAGCGGGATATATGTAAAATTAGCTCCCTTTATTAATACTGACATTTATAACTTGAAATGTAATGCTTGAAATATATATATCAATGACATATAATAATACCTAGAATGACGATGCATTCATAATAATGCAATTTGAAAGTATCGTTGAAATGCTAATCAACAGGACCCGCCATTTTGGTAACCCATATATTATAGTAATTATTCTCATTTAAAAAACAGCTGTCTTCATTGATGTACACTTTTTAACGATATTATTATATATCATTGATAAATATATTAGCGATATTGACATTTTAATATGGTTAATTTTGCCTTATTTTTAACATTCTTTACAAAAATTCTACATAAAAATTAGATTTTTTATATTTATGAATTAATTTTAGGGGTTAACTTAATAAAATGTCTAAAACATTTTAAGGCTAATAATAAAAAATTTTATTGAGATAATAAGTTTAAAAAAAAGGATTAGTTATGAATTACCCAGGCTAAGGAAACATTTTAAAATCAATGTATACCCACCCGTCAATCACATAGGAATTAAGTGTTGTGTTTATAACTTTTTAAAAATATAATTTATAATAAAATTTTTCCGTGTGAAAATTTTATTCATAAGTGAAATGTGGCTTATTTTTTTTTAAACATAATTTTATAGAATTAGAAAAATTAATGAGTGGCTTTTATCATTCAATATAAATGACGGTATTTCTAAAGTAAATCTAAATTTAACATATAATTTATCAAGTTTACACTTAGAACCATCATTTTTTTTAAAAAAAATCTAGGTGTTCTAAACTCCGACTTTAGCTGTAAGTTAGAACCGCACCAACTTGTAGACAAATAGAACTGTACCAACTCACGGGGATAATTAAAAACTATTTCCAACCCACCTATCCTCTAACCACAGCTGACGATGATTATACAAAAATTTATATTACATATTTGTTATTTATTTTACGTAAAATATTTTTTATATTTTAAGGTAGTGTTGTTAAATTACCTAACTATGACCATCTCTATTGATCTTAGTCAAACTTTTAGATTTAAAAATTGAATTAAGCTTCTAAGGTGAGTCTCAGCTTGAAGTTTGATTAGAATATTTCTGGATAAAAATATGACTACGCTGCTTTATAGTTTGACGAAAGATAGGTAGTTTAACGACACTAACCAAAGGTACGAATAAATGAGATAAAATATAAATACTCCGGCCGGATCCTTGATGTACATCGTGCCGTTCCAAGCGCCTGATACGGTTAAGTAAGGATTTTTCTCGTAAGGCGAAAAAACTTCGCAATTTATTTGATTTTTGTTACCTCCGTAAAAGGGCTATATATATAATTTTTTTTTTTTGTTAAAAAGAGAGAAAAGAAATAAGATTCATTTATAAAAGTAACGTTCGCTAAGTTTCATCTTGAGGGGTAAAAAGAACTATAATTTGCAAAAGAAGGATATATAAAAATCAATATTTTTTCAAAAGAAATTTTCAAAGTTTTTAAGGGATTTAAGTCCCGCGGTCCTTCCTAACGACGCTACTGTATTCGGGACATAAAAGAGTGTTTGAACAAAGGGTTGAGACCATTCAGCGCGGCCCGAGAACAAAAAGTTTCTATGGCCGGACAACTTGCGCAGATTGATTTTACGGGACTGACCAAAAAAAAATCGATTAAAAATTTCCGATGGACCAGTTCGCCGTTCGAGGCCGCACGGATTTCAAATTTGAGCCACATGAAAGATAAAAATTGGCCCTATATTAGGGAAAGAATTTTAGAAAATTCGAAAATTTTTTCGAGCATTATAGCTCGGTGAAGAAGGAAGTAGGTTAAAAAAACAAAGAAATGGGTTAGTTTCCATTGGGTCAAAATAAACTGCGCATTTTAATTTAAAAAAAATTGTACACACTTTTGTTAGAAATTCGATATTGGCGAAATATCCCGTTTTAGAGCAAGTTATCGTGACTTTACCGCCCAATTCGATCCACGGTATAGAAAATATCGATCTGGATAAAAAAAAAGTAAATGGTCATTTGCGAAATAATTTATTTTTTTTAGACGAAATTAATAGAAACATAACTTTTGTTCAAATTTATATGTATATACATATATATAAAAAAAAATGATTTAAATTTATTTGTGACGAGATTGATAAGCAAATCTATCGTTTAAAAAAATCACGATTTCGAACGGAAACGGGGTTAAACCTTGGAACCCAAACGGGGTTAAAACTAAGAACCGAAAGTAGAAAGCTTCCTATTGAAAAAAATAATATAGGAAATCGGCGTTCCTCCAAACTATGGTTTAAAAGAGAGTATTTATAAAAAGACACCTGGCATAAGCGTTAGGGAAAGTGCAAACGTATTCCTCGTTGTGTTGCAACAGGTTGATACAAGCTTGTCCGATCATGTGAACTCCTTTCATAGGTCAAAAAAAAATTGAGGTAAATTAAACGATATTTAAAATGGAGTTTGAGCATTGGGTGGAGATTTCAGTGCTCATAAATTAGTTAAACCAATTTTTATCAATTTTTTGGTCGATAAGAAACTTGATTAGATAGTTTTTAGCCGATTCCAACCCGGTTTAGATATGTTTAAGCTATTACAAACCGGTTAGGTCATTTTTTTATGCGACTCCAAGCCGGTTTAGAGATACATTAGTTGACTCAAACCGGTTTAGCCAGGTTTTAGTCGTTTCAAAACCGATTTAGTCAAGCTGACTAACCGACCTCAACCTCGTTTAGCTGAAACCGATTGGCTCAGTTTCAAGTATGGTTTATTTTTTAAAAACGCGGAGTTTGGCATAAAAGATTTTAAACGCGGTGACCTTAAATTCCAATCGAAATTTAAAATAGGTCAATCACGTATCAATGTTTTTTTCTGTTTACCTGATATGAAAAAATCCTGAAATTTTACAAAAATTTTCGGTCCGTCGAGTAATGTCCGAAAATTTCGGGAGTAACGACACATTCATTAAACGTAAATTTATTTGACTATTACCGGTTAGGCCAATTCACAAATGAATCGAATTTTCATTTCGAATATGAATATCAAATTATTCGTTTTTGCTCGAACACTCGAATAATTCGAATATTCGACAAATTATTTCGATAATTCGTTTTATTCGAATATCAGTGATTTCTATTGATTATCAATCTAATTAGTAATTAGGTAAGAGATTTAACATGGTAAATATATCGACTTGTTCTGAAAAGCATTCGAGTTGGAAGTAGGGAAACTAATACGTTGTCAAAAATAAGGCATGTCTTGTAGCAAGAAACCGTTAAGAAAAAAAATTCTGCCTTAAAAATTGGTTCCATTATACGATTACATTAATAAGCATCACTTAAATTTCTCTAACGGTTTAAAAAAAGTTTAAAAAGAGATTCGTAAGGGGAAGGAGGTTTAAGTTTCCCAAAACTCGAATTTAAAATTATCATATGTTTAATTCCTATATGTATATTTTGGAAATGATGCTAAAAAATTAATCTATGGGGTCAAAATATAGTCACCGCTGAATTCACGTGTAGCGGGAACTCGGGGCGCGTATATTATTCACCCAAATTTCGCGGTAACTGTGAATGAGAAGTGTCACATTTTAAATTATGATTTCATTGGTGAATTAAAATTTTTTTTTTTTCAACGAAACCTATTGATAGGCCCAGGAATTTAGATTTCGTCCATATGTTGGCGTTTAGGCAAACCTTTTTGGCGATATTTTCGGCGTAAAAGGCGGAAACTTTAGATAAAATTGTATAAGATGAATAACGAATAATCTATAATATTATTTTCGTGGATAATCTTAATTCGTATTAAACCCCCTCCCCCGCAACAAGGGCTAGCGTGGACGGTAAAGTGGACAAAATTCGGGGCTTATCATACTTCTAAAAACTAAAAAAAAATCCAGACTTGCCGAAAAATAATCTTGCGAGACCTAGAAAATAATTTGTACTGTTCCAGCTGAATACTTTGTTGTAATCATCAGGAAATTTTGTAGCAAGGTTTTTATAATCGGATGCCCTTCCTGACATCAACCCATTTAAGTGGTATTTTACAGCCCGTCGAGGGGACGATGATCCTATCCTAGACCCAGACCGCATTACCCTGAATTCATAGTGGCGCGATTGCGATCGCGATTTAACAGCTGATTGATTTTTAAAATCTGTTTATGAGATCAATTTTTATTTATTAAAAATCATTATTTCTTAGATTATTATTAAAATTTGAATTAAAGATAAAATTAATATTAATAAATAAAAATTGATCTCATAAACAGATTTTAAAAATCAATCAGCTGTCAATCGCAATCATGCTATGAATTCAAGGTTAGACCTCAATTATCCTAGGCCGATATTTAACCAGACCGCTTTTGTATTCTTTTTAGAAATTGATAAATTTATACCAAATTTATTTTTAAAAAAAACAAAGTCTTAAAATCAAATTTATTTATTTTTATTATATTATATATATTTAGGAAATAGGCAACAAGAAATCAGAGCATTCGGTAATTTAATTTAATTTATATATATAAATAATCAATAATTTTTTTATTTGAAAATTATTATTATTTACAGACAATTTACCAAATATTCCATCGATTCGATTGCGTACATGGCAGAGATCACCGAAAAAATATTACTTGACGTTAATATTGGATAAGTCAAGAGATAGGGAAGCAATAAAAGAATTTCAATTAATTATCGAAAAGAATAACATCCAAATTGACGCGAAATATTTAGATAAGGTTGAAGAAAGAAATCATAATATTTTTATATTAATTATCATGAATGCGCCCCCCCCTACCTTAAACAGTAGATTATTAATATAAGCCATTCAAATCTTTAGCATTATATTCTATTATTTCTTCTCATTTTAACGCCCTGTTGAGAATTAAGTTTATGCGTTTTATATGGTGATACCCGATAGAATATACTCGAACAAAATGTCTCAGGAACAAAAAAATCTTTAAAGATAATAATTTTGAATTTATACGAGAATTAGATGTAGCCTCTGAAAATAGAGAAATTTGATAATATAAATATTTAGATATTTTTTTATACAAAAAAAAATTAAAAATTTAGAGGTAATTTTGTGAAATTTTTATTAAATATGTTGTTTTTTTTTATAAAAAAAACGAAATTATTATTGGAAAAGATAGTTAAACAATTTTATGAAATTCTTTATTAACATATTTCCATAATATTAAATAAAATAATACATTTATCGCATTGTCCATCCACGGCCATTTCTGTGTTGTGGTTAACACTTTACATAATTTTTAATTTTTCAGGAAGCCACTCAATACAACTTTACTATATACAACGTATCCATTTCCGACGAATATATTGTCAAAGTTTACACGGTGTTCAACACTGCCTATCATATTCGACAGCTGTTAAGTGAATATTCGAATCGAATATTTTTTAAATTTTCGAGAAAGAAAATATCGGTAGATGAAGCCGAATAATTATTGAATTATGATATGTTTTTGTTGTTTCATTGTTTTTACGGAAAGTGGGTTCTTTTTTTATTTAAAATATTTTTATGCGATCTAATGTCGGAACATGTTATATAATTACTATCAAAATATTGTATAATTTTATTAATTAACATATTACAACAAAAAATTGCTAATTTAGGACGGGTGAATAATTAATAAACCATAAAAAAAAATTTTGTTTAGAATTGATGTAAACATGGCACATATGATCATATTTAACAGAGTATTAAATAAATAAATATACTACTGTAGAAATTAATAAAATATGCTCGTATTCAAAAAATTCATTTGCCGTGAAAAAGGAACACGTTTAAATTTGTCGTAAAAGCCATCTTGTTTATTCAATGTTCAGGTTGCTTCCTAGTTTGTTGTTTTTTTTGAATTCAAGTAATATATCCTGAAAAATAAGAATATATAATATACTTTGTAGTTTAAAAATTTCAACATCTGATGTCAAAATCTGTCACATTTAAAAAAACATAGGAATTCAGGCTCTTATTTCGAATAGAATTCCGAATTAAGAACTCTTTTTTATATATAATTGATCTATATTTTAAAAAAATTAGAATAAAATAAAGGATAGATTATATTAATTATTTATAAACTAATTTTCAATAAAACATATTCCCTTTTAAAATAATAATGCAACTAGTAATTGTAACTAGTTACATTTTTTAAGGAAAACCAGTAATTCCACTACTTATTTTTAAAAGAAATTTTAAAAAACACTTTACTACTCATTATACTCTAAAATGAATATCATGCAGTTAGTGAAATCAATAAATCATATAAAATTTAATATATATAATTAAATTCCAGGTTATGAAAATTACAAAAATTTTACATTTAATATAATTCACATTTGACCACTTAAGGAAAAATTATTTATAAGCCCGGTTAAAGTCCTCTCCTCATTTTTAAAAAAATCTGTTCCGGGGTTACTGTCATGATTAAATTAGATAAAATGTTTAAAAATTGTAATACAACTAATATGGTTTATTCTGACAGAAAAATATCATTATTTCTGGTGGAGCAGTTTTTTTTAGTGTATATACTTGTTTTTATGAAGAGTGTTATGCATTAGATGATCCTATCTTAGTAAATACTTAAGTTTTTTCACCCCTTCCTACTACAATATTAATTATCACATGATTCATTAGAGAAATGCCCCAACCAAGCTATTACGAATTCTAAATCGGGCTACTAATAAATGTCGGCAATCCCAAACAAAATTCTTGATCCTCTTTTCATTAATAAAGAACTTTGCATAGCTATTTCGCTTCGTCTTGTGTGCGATATATCGTTTCCTTCTAAATGTATTAATTAACCTTCTGATTCCAAAGGACACCAACTTTTGTAGATACACAAAAGGCTCGCCACCTACGGTATATAAACATATCTAATTTAACCACAAAGGCTCTTTAAAAGGGCTAGCATCACAAATACCCTACCCTATACTCAAGCAACAAGAGAAGACCCGGTTTAGTACCTTGGTCGTCTGGTCTTGGGATTACACATACATCGATTTTTGAGCACAATTCAGCAAAAATTCAGCAATTAATAAGGCAGACATCTTATAAATAAACAAATATTCAGTCATCACAAACTTAATTTTCATCCCACTTATCACCAATACTCTTAGTGTATTTTAATGAGTATTTCCTTAAATTTATCATATTATTAGGAAGAAAAGGCCAAATAAGTGGCGATCGTAATGAAGCCTTCTATTTAAAACAACCCATTAAGATAGATATTCATCAAGGTAATTGTATTGCTATTCATTATTCCATATGACAATGCAAGTAACCCTTTTGTTATTTTTTAAAATTTTTATTTTTTTGTATATATACGGTAAATTTTATAATTATCCCATAGATAAAATTATTTCCTAAAATTTGGAAGCCTTAGATCAGAAATTATTTTTATATATATTTTGATTTTAAATTATATATATTTTTTTTATATATAACTATTATGCAAGGCCTCATTAGGAGATGTTTTAAAACTTTATCAGCTGATTATTCACAGAAATTAGTTAAAATAAACGTTGCAACATAGGTTTTTCAAAATTTATCATAGTGTTTAAATCGTTTCGCTCCATATATATAAATTATGACTATTTCCTAGTCATTTATAAATAACACAGCAGCAAGTACCACACCGCTTGACTTACTATTTATGAGGAGTGAGATGTCACTTCATGTAAGACTGGTTGCCATATTAGTGACAGATTGTAATCTTCTGATTATTGACAGATTTTAGTAGATTCAATGGATTTAAAAGAGGTTTGATTTATTTCCTATACAATTATAAATATAAAATAGGTTTTAGCTAAATCTATTATTACCTCAGATTTTTTAAGGAAGGACAAAGTTGGCAATTATTTAGAAAGCAAAAGGCACATTAAAAGGCAAAGACGGGTATTTACAAAAAGATATTAATATATGATTATTTCCAAAATTGTATAAAATAAGAGCAATTAAAATAGACTCCTAATTTTTTTTTTTCAATTTTTTGGTCTTATAATATACAATATTATTAAAAATTCCAAATATATAAATGTTTTATTAAAATGTGGATGCTTTGCATACTCTATTAGATCAAATAGCTATTAAGAAAGAAAGTTAGATCAAACAGCTACATTTAAGATAATATCCAAACTATAAAAAAGAAGATAATACATTAGAACTGCACTAGTACTAAATATTAGATATGGAAGACCTATATTTATCATTTAAAAAATTTTGGATCAGGTTAAGATATATTTAAAAAAATGGATATTTTTTTGGGTTATTTAGTTACGTATAATTATATATATTTTTTATTTGCACATAATTTTCTACTGGTATTGTTATTCAGGGACTTCTACCTTGGAAGGGAAATTTATATTAAAAACCTTTAATTTTGTTTTTTTAACTAAGATATTTATAAACTAAGAAAAATATAATAAAATTATTATAATAATTTGAGAACTATGTAAACTTTGCCCCATATCTTGATCCAATAATATTACTATCAATTTTTATTAAACTGATGTTAAAAAAAAATCTTTTGCAAAAAATAAACTAACTGTAAGTGTAAACTTTGGGCAAAACCAAAAAAAACCCTTTGTAATTTTCCTTTTTTAATCATCACATTATTTGGGAATGCTTATGGCCAACTATGACTCTTTAAATATTTTAAAATCTTATTCTTCAAAAAAATAACAATATCACATTTTTTTCCAATAAGCTCAATTTTTTTTAAACACAAATAAATTTTAGTTCCTTTTTAAAATTTATTTTAATCATACTAAGAATAGTTTGGATCAGTTTTTTTAAATTATTAACCCAATCCCTAGAGATTGGCACAAGCCCTAATCTGAATTATTTGATTAATTTAATTTTAAAAAATATTTATTAATATTATTAACATATGCTTTTTTTTTAATAATCTACCAAATATTTGCATTATAGTTAGAGAAGGACTTGACTCGAGGTAAAAAATGGTATGATATGCCAGCAACAGAACAGACCCCTGAGATTAAAAACGATTTGACTATTTTGAATTTATCGTCTTCGTTATACCCAAAAAATTATTACAAAAAATGTGATTGGAAAACCATTCCCAAATATTATCAAGTAAATCAATGCAAAAAAGAAAATAATGAATAATTAAAATTTTTATCTTAACCCTGTATTGCATGTACTATGTTAGAATAATTTTTTTTTGGCAAACTAGATTTTTTATTTCTCTCGATACTATTGATAATCTCATGGCTCACTTTTTTTAAAAAAATTCTAAATTTCTTAGAAGATGAACGGTATGTGGATTAAAATACACATTATGCAATTAAGGATACAAATTTCAATTTTTCCACAATAATTTTTATTATACTCTAAACTATAAATATATATAATTTTATATAAATACAACAAATATTAAATGTTTGAACATTTTAATTTTCATGAAAATCTATAAAACAATTATTTGTGGGCGTAAAACATAAATATACACCACATTTTTTGCAAGATACTTTTGTAATAAATATGCATCCTGGCATTTTACATCTACCCTTTTTATCATTATATTTGGGCCAGTGAGCTGTGAGGTCTTTCCTAACCTCTTTATTTGGTAAAGATTGGGCTGGTCCTTTTTTACATTTTTCCCGATAACCAGTTTGAACTGATTTTCGTTTTGGAATATTGTTTGAAGTGCATTTGTCATATTTGCAAAAGACTTTCGCCACTGAAATTTTGAAATTGTACAAACTTAATCGATCCTTGCGTGCCGTTTATTATTGTTTTTTTTGAAACAAAAAATCCTCGCCTTTTTTTAAAACTCCTTATCTGTTAAGAAGTTTATATTGAAGTCGATTACCTCTGACCGTGGCCGCGCAAAATATCCCTCTTTGAGCGAGTACGACTAGCAAATTTGGGGAACAAAACCAGTTATCAAAAAATAATTTATAATTAATTTGCTGCGGTATATAAGAAATTAAACGGAGCACAGCATTGCCAATTGCTCCAACATCAGGCAATCCTTCCGCTGCTAGTATTTTCCCAGAATATATTTCAAAATTATACAGAAGGCCATCATCTCCGCATAGTAGAAATACTTTATAGCCCCATTTTTTGGGCTTTTGAGGGTTATTTATATTGTTTCAACCAGCTTATCCCTTTGTATGGAATAATTTGCTCATCTACGCAAATGTTTTCGTTTATCGATAAAGATTTTAGTATGTTATTGGTTAGAGTTATTAGGGGTCTAATTTTATGTAGTGGGTCATGGCCTTCACTTCCAAGTGGAATTCCAAACTATTTTTCTTCTAGTGTTTTCTTTTTCATTATTGATATTTTCTTTTTCTTCCGAATCATCTGTCTCATTGAAATCTATATATTTATAGATTATATAAGAGCATAAATTTTAAATATACCTAAATCATTATTTTCTGTTGATAGAAACTCCTCATCAGACGTTTCACTTAAATTTGATTCTTCATTATCATTAGGTATGCCACCACAATTCATAATTCTAAAAATATAAAACTCAAATCAAATACCTTATTTGCATAATGTGTCTTTAAAACCACGTATGATTATTACAAAATATAATTATCAAAAATAATAAATATATATAAAATAATTTCATAAACATTTATTTTTACCTTTTATTCATCTAATTTTAATGTTTTGAAATTTGTCAAATATATTTTTTTTCCTTTTCCGATGGGTAGAAAATTGAGAAGAAAAATTTTATAAAAAAATAGCCATTTTTAAAAATAGGGTTTATTAAAATGCAGAAATTAAAAATAAATAATAGATCACGTGGCCCAAATTAATATTCCAATCGAAGATATAGAATATGGCTTCAAATACACACCATCCAATTGATTTAAAATTTATTTATAAGATATTTATTATACAATTTGTAGTATGTGGAATGAGATACACGGTATGCAATACAGGGTTAAGAACTGATGTTGACGAGGAAGGGGGAAGGGTAAAGGGAAAAGATTTAAGCATGAAAAAATAAATTTATTTAAGAGATAGAAATTAGAGATTATACATAGCCCAGAATTCGTGAGTCAATACATTATTGCGTAATCATCTTGTAATAATTAGAGCTTAAAATAAATTATGGCCGATAAAAGTTGCTGGAAAGTGGAATTGGTTAGAGCAAATATGATGAATTGAAATTGATATTTGCTTAATATATAAGTAGAAATTGGTATCACATCTATGAGAAAATCGGGGATTTGTGATGTATCGATTCCTTTTCGTTTTGTGATACCTATAACAAATGCTTATTTCAAGGCGTTTATGCACTCGGTAATAGGTGATGACAGAGTTGGCCACGTTACTCTCAAAATAATATTGGTTGGTCATGTTCAGTTATTGTTACTTGGGAGAAAAGAT